GAAGTACCCGGCTGTCACCTTATGAGATTATTACTGGTCGTCCTATGTCACTTCCAGGAACTATTGATTTAAGAGCAGCAGATACATGTTATGTCTGATAGTCTGCTGCAATACTGCCAGATATTATCTGAGGCTGTTGCTGCTGCTCAGAAACAAGTGTTGGATGCATGGAAAGAACCTACTAAGGGGGGGTCATCCTATCGTCTCAGGTATGTGGGTAATGGTTAAGGTGCCTAACACTCAGCCATTAGGGCCAAAGTGGGAAGGTCCATATCAGGTCCTCCTTACTACGCCCTCTGCTCTAAAATGTCAAGGGAAGCCAAAATGGATACATGTGAGCCACACCAAGGTGGTACCACCACCTGATGGTGATGGCTAGTTTAGGGATAAAATGGGTGACTCTGGTTGGGAGATGCTCTGAGGAGGAACTATGATGTTTAGGTCATGGGGGTCAACCTCAAGAGTGAAATTCTTCCTAATTCCCCTTTGCGACTAGCGCTCCCCTAATCCCAGCAGAGGCCAGGACCCAGGTTAGGTAGGGAAAGAAGGTATCCATTACAAGGGCTAAACCAAACCTTTACACAAGGGCATAAGACATGGGTTGTGTACTAAGAATATGATACTGCTGCTATGTCTATGTGTTTTGTTTTAGGATATGCCCAGAGCAGACCTGACACTGTGACGAAGGAACAGGACATCAGACGGGTTCCTGAAGGGTGGTCGACGAACTGACATCAAAGCCTATCTAGGTCCCCTGACGCTGCCCTGTGAGCTGTTTGGACACATCAACACTTTCTCCCTATATTCTAGAAGAGAAGACGTCTACCACGACGACAAGCTGCAAAATAAAAGACTTTTATAACAAAAAGGGAATAAAGAAGAATGAAACCTGTAGTTTTCATAAACATCCTGACAATAGCTTTTTCAGGCATGATGGAGGATGTGCTCAGGCCATCCTCTAAGCACAAAATCATACCTTAGGAGGTGATGGTTGTTTTGTCCGTCATGCCTTGCATCACCGCTATTATGTGATCCCAATGTCTAACATTTCTGCGCAAGCTTTATGTACAGACCAATTTGCATCTGAACCCATGAGAATAATAGCACAAATGATGGTAGATGGTATAAGTGAAGATAACTGGCCATTGCCTATTGTTAGATGTCTCAGGTCAAATAGAGCTGCCTGTTACAATCCTAATGCTGATAGCTCCCGGATTGTTGGCTGGCAGTATACTAGAGTCAATAGTATCAAAATTTAACTATAGAGCGTGATTAGCGGGATAAATCTAGCTGGAATTATGGATTAGCAGATCCCATTCCTGTGAGGGCTTCCCCAGGTTGGGTATGTATTAACAAACCTTGTTATCCAGAGGGTGTCAACATTCTACCACCACAAATACCAACCCAAGCGGTATTTGGATGAGGGAACCACTCACTTTTGGTTTGTATTGGGTTTGTGGAAACAAGGCTTATCCATTACTCCCATCTGATTCATGGTGCGGTGCCTGTTACATGGCTGTAGTCATGCCTCCTATTACAGTCCATACTGATCCATGGATCACATTACAATCTCATGGACTTTTACTTCGTATGAAAAGAGAACTTGGCATCACCCTAACAGGTAAACAAACATGGAATGGTCACATTATGAAGGACCCCTGGTCTAGTATAGCACAGACAGTAGGGTGGGGAATATTTCCATTTGGAGGTGTTGTAGATGCCTTACAGAAGATAAATTATTTGGCTTATTCCACACAGAAACTAGCTAATGAGACTAGTGAAGCTCTCCGCTTAGTAAATGATGAACTCCATGCGTTCTGAGAAGTAGTGCTGGAGAATAGGAAGGTTTTAGACTTGCTGACCTTAGAAAAAGGAGGGGTATGTCACATTCTCAATACTTCCTGTTGTATCTATGTCCCAGATAACTATGAAAATATTGATAAATATGTAACAGATCTTCATAGACTCATTCCAAATCCAGAAGGATCTCTTGATAAGATCTTTACCTGGATTGGCAACATGTTTGGAGGTATGTTTTCTGGAATCTTACAGCAACTGCTCCGTTATGTACTTCCTTTTGTAGCACCAGTAACAGTTGCTATTGTTATTTACTTTTGCCTCAAATTACTCTGGTGCTTAATGACTAAACTCCACCGGCGTAGGCGTTCCTTATAACCAAGGAAACACTTAATTTCCCCAATTTGCCTGTATGCAGACTGAAGGGAAAGAGAGCCGTCTTTAGGACGTGAAGAAAGAGGGAAATACTGGCCATATTTCACTGGAAGAAGCAAGGATAGATCGATTAAGCTTGTGAGAACATACATTTTGTAGTATGTTCTAAGGGGGGAATGAAGGAATTTATTGTTGTGAAATGTGCTGTGTTGTGGGTGTATGTGCAGAAGTTGTATTTTAGGCTGCCTATTTTGTGTTTCTCCTTATATGGTCATGTCTGTCACACCTGTCGCTTGTCATGTATAAGCTGAGTCTAATCTTGGCATCAGTCCAGCTATAAAACTGTGACAGTCCATTGTCTTACGGGCTGGCTGGCGGTCTGGAACCTGTGCGCACAACGAATAAACTTCATTTGTCCAGACAACAGACCTAGTTCCCTGGTTCGTTGGGGTTTGGATTCTTTCAATATATATATATATATATATATATATATATATATATATATATATATATATATATATATATATACACACACACATATAAAAATGAGCTCTGGTCTGATTGGCTGTGCCTCCAAGTCTGAAACACTCCTTATAACTTCAGTGTGAGTGGCCGGGGCTAAACTGCTACAGGCTCAATCAGTGGATATATGTAAATGAGTTGTTTTTTTTTGTGACAAACAAATTTATAAAATTAGTCAAAATGTAAAACACAGCCACAACACTGGTTAAAAATCACAATTAGACATTTTCCCCAAATCACACAGCCATACATCACAGACATTTCATGGAACAGAAAGCAAAAACTTAAATAGAAAACAGATTGTGTTTACATGCACTTATCTGATCCAATTTTGTCAGTTAGGTGTTTAGCGCGTTTACAGGCATTTATTAATCCGATAAGTCAGGCCTGTGGCACAATCCTATCCGCAAAATTATTTTCATTTTCTATTAATATTAGCCCATTTTACCATGAGCTGCACTACAATCCCGAGCATGCACTTCCACGTAATGTGCGCTCCAACCCTCCTTCCCCAACAACAATCTATGGGACAGGGTTACACCACAAAAAGAAAAGATGGCAGGCGGCTATTTCAGGCAAATAGGCAGGTTTAATAGATGTGTTTTCAAGGGACATTTAAAGAGATTTAACAGATATCTGTAGCTGATGTAGTCTACTGTTTTAAATAAAATGATTTTTAAATTGTTTAAGTATTCACTGCTTATTTTGTTGTTGCAGTTTTGGCATATTTTGAATAAACAATGGCCAGTTCAGTTCATAACAAAATGTTCATTTAAAATGAAATAAAAACACAGCTGGCTTACGGATTTGTGAGATTTTTTTAATATGGCCCTTTTATTGGTTGAGTTTGACACCCCTGCTGTATCCAGAGCTCAAATCCAGCTCTCGTTATCAGATTTCTTATAAACGGGCCTAACATGATCTAAATTTAGTTTCAATGACCCCTTGAATAACTGGATAATTGCTGAAATACAATAATGATTGAATTACTGGTGTGCATATGAACAACACATCCTAACCACTGTGAGGGCAGAACAGAGTCCAGTTACAGAGAACACATGAAGAATAATCTGTATAGAGCTCAGTGTGTACTTGCCTGACAGGTTGATGTGTGTCAGCGTGTCTCTGCTGCTGGTTCCGGCAGCAGTGATGATGTTGATGCTGTGGTCAGTGATGTGGCTACAGTAGCTGAGGTCCAGCCGGGTCAGTGAGGGCAGGTGTTTGATGATGAGGCGGAGGGAGTGGTCAGTGATGTCCAGACCAGCCAGACTCAGCTCTTGCAAATTACTCAACTTACTGCTGCAGTCCAGCTGACCTGCAGACCACCAAAATGTAAGCAGATATAACTCAGTGCTTCATTCAGGAGGTGCATGGCCATAAAGACAGATTAAATAAGTGACTGACTGGTTGGGTGGTTGGTTCAGTGGAGATCAGGTTCAGCCACATACAAAATCTGAATCAGAATTGATTACAGTGATGGTGATAGGAACCGGACGTCCATCTCTAAAAGCTCCCTCACAGAAAGTTATTAAGTGAAATGGTTATAAATACACTGTCTGATGTCTGAGACATTGTTTAATGACAGTTTTGAGAAGATTTTGGCCTTATACCCCATTCACGGTGGAGGGACACATAGTATGCAGGGTGCTGTGAGGCAAAATAGTCCCCAAAGAAAAAAACATTCCATATAAAACTCAGAAGACATGTGTAGGATGACTGGTGGTTTTGGATAGTAAATAAAATGTCTATATTTGTGTTGTAGTCAAGGCAACCCCTGGTTCCTATCACCACCACTGTAAAGAAATCTGAACCATTTCACCCTAAACCACTCAATCACTCTGTTTGCATCTCACACAATGAATTATGGGGGAATGTTGAAAAATTGTTGTAATTGCTAACCCTTTTTCAGTTGTTGAAAGCTCAGGTATAAACCAGTTCCTCCACAAGAGGGCAGTGTTTAGCTACTTAGGGATTCGACAATAAATATAAAGAAATAGAATCTGACAAGATCAAAAACTTTAAACAGTTGGAGCTGAAAAAGATTCATCCAATAGTTAGAGGGAGAGGAGAGAGAAATACACAGACAAACAGACAGAGGAAGAATATGTGTACAGTATATAAATATAACCTGGTCTGTAGTCTGATGGTGGTGACAGTAGGTCAGTAATCTGTTGGTCCTTCAGCCCCTCCACCCACTGCAGGTCCAGCATCCGCAGAGGAGGGCAGGAGGAGGAGCAGAGGGTAGAAACAGCAGCCCAGGAACAACCAGCTAACTGCAGCTTCCGCAAACCTACAATACACACAGTTACTGCCCTACACCATCACACACTGTTCAGTTTTTTTCTGGTTCAGATTGCTTCATCCTTATGGGAGTTACAACAGAATATTTGGGGTTTCCTTCGAGTGAATCTCCCTGTAGTATAGTGAGTGGTGTTATAGTGTAGTGCAGAACAGTGAATGGTGTCATAGTATAGAGAGTGGTGTTATAGTATAGTGCAGTACAATGCAGTACAGCATAATGAATGGTGTTAAAGGTAAAGTGCAATATATGTGCTAATTATATTGTACCCACCTGGAAGCCGGTTAATGAGCCAGCTGAGCTGTTTCTTGGAGATGTTGGTCCAGCTGAGGTCAAGAGAGAGCGGCTGCCTGCGGATTATACCACTAAGCATGAGGGGGGTAATGGACTTACAGCGGTTCAGGTCAATCCTGCTCCACAGCCTTTTATCACAGCACCTGAGAGAGAGAGACAGGAAGGGAAAGACAGAGACAGGGAGGGAAAGAGAGAGAGACAGAGAGAGAGACAGGAAGAGATAGAGAGAGAGAGAGCAGACTGAAAATTAGTGCTCTGTCATTAATATTTCAGCTTGTGTATCAGAATCTGAACAGGTCACGTCCTATTGGAATTCAATGTATTTAAATCGACCGTTAACATTAGGTGGGTAGTGCCACTTAAAACAAACAGTCCAGTGAAAATTAAAATTACACAATTCAACCTCCCACCCCAAATGTACGGTCAGCCGAGACGTGTTTCATATCTGAAGTTTGCTTCTTTAGTTTTAACACTGGAGCTAATTTAGCTAACAAGTAATAGGAGCTTATACCCTACCAATTAGCATAATGCTAACTGCTTGACTACTGCCATTTTTTTCATTCACGTGGAGTTGATCAGTAGTCTCTAATAGACCTTTACAGACAAAATTCATGGCCACTACTGTTCTTTAGTCCATGTTTATAGACAAAGACAGCAGCATATTTCAAACAATCACGTTTGTCTGGAAAGCTCTGAAGTGTTGGGAGAATCTGGGGGAATTAGATTTTTCTCTGAACTATCGCTTTAATGTTATTGTTGACTCACCACCGGTTCCAGGTCTTGCAGACGCGCATGCACACACACAGCTCGCTGTGCTGCAGGTGACTGAATACACCCATCCACTCCTCCCTGCCAATCGTGTGGCTCCGCCCATCATTTAGCGGTAGGCGGTCCGGTGGGGGACTGATGGGCGGCGGTCTGATGACGTGCCGTTCCACTTGCGCACATTTGGGCGGGTGTTGGGCAGCAGCTGAAGGCGAAGTCTTGCTCGCCGGAGGCTCCTCCTTCTCCAGTTCCTCCCGGGTTCCTAACCAGTCGCCTAGGCAACCGCCTCCATCATCATGGCTTTCAGCCTCGGAGGGCAGCGCTCCGTTCTGATTGGCCCGTCTCCCCTCAGCCTTCAGAGTCTTCTGCTTCAGCCGTTGGCTCCTGAGCTGTTTTGCTTGGCTCTTTACCTGTTTGTCACCGCCTGTCGTTCCACATGATTGGCCATTTTCATGCGAAGCTGACGTCCTGTTTGGGGGAGTGGACGTTTGACTTACTGGCTTTTCATCCTCTCCGTCCTCCTCTTTAACCCTCCGCTCATCTTCATCACCCTCGTCCTCGCTCTCTCTCTTCACGGCGTGCAGCATTTCAGGGTTCAGAACGTTCGAGATCTTCTGAGGGATCACAGACAGCACAAATTCAGCTCTATTAAAATCCTTATAGCATGCTAATGTTCCTGAGTGACCGGTCCAACATTATCTACTGAAACAGAGTGAACATGAGTTTGTGAGTGTTTTGGAGTAAATGAATCGGTCAGCAGACCTTCTTTCTGCTGGGCTCCGGCTCTGAGTCCTTAGAGCACTTCCTCTTCCTGTGCACAGGCTCCTCCTCTGCTTTGGGCTTCAGTGCAGGTGCCGCACCCAGAAGGGGGAGGGGCTTCTCTGTGGCATCCTCAGGCTTGCTGATGGGCATGTCTTCTGGCTCAGTTTTCTGATTCAAGGATGACGGGTCCACGGATGGCGGTTCCACGGTTTTGTCTGCGTCCAGTTTGTCCGGTGGGTCCGTGGGGGGGCGTGGCTTGTGCAGAGAACCCGGAAGGGTGGGGGCAAATTTAAACCCCGGACCCCTCTTCTGCTTCAGGGAGATTATTACAACACATTAGCTAACTGTTATTATGCCCATTATCAAGCACAAGATTGATTATGATATAATACAAAAATAAAGGTGCTGCAAAATGCTTTATTCAGCCTTGTTACTGCTTAATGAAACAGTAATAAGCAGACAGTTAATCAGCAGTTACTGCCTTGAGGTTTAATTGAGGCTAAAAGTACAGAATGCTTGTTATCTAACGGACTCAGAGTTTAGATTAAAATGCAGAGTCAGAATGCGTAAGTTAATAACAGCAAATGTTGTGAGGATCTGCAGTCAGTTCTGTGGTAAGGACTGTAATCAGGACTATGGTCAGTTCTACGGTCAGTTTTGTTGTCAGCTCTGCAGTCAGCTTTGCGGTCAGGACTGTGGTTAGTTCTGCGGTCAGTTCTGCAGACAGGACTGTGGTCAGTTATGAAGTCAGGAATGTGATCAGTTCTGTGGTCAGCTCTGCGGTCAGTTCCATGGTCAGCTCTGTGGTCAGGGCTGTGGTCTGTTCTGCGTTCAGTTCTGTGAACAGGACTATGGTCAGTTATGCAGCCAGGACTGTGGTCAGTTCTGTGGTCAGCTCTGCGTTCAGGACTGTGGTAAGTCATGTAGTCAGGGCTGTGGTCAGGGCTGTGGTCATCTTTGCATTCAGGACTGTGGTAAGTCATGTAGTCAGGGCTGTGGTCAGGTCTGTGGTTAGGACTGTGGTCAGGTCTGAGGTTAGGACTGTGACCTGTTCTGTGGTCAGCTCTGTGGTCAGTTTCATGTTCAGTTCTGCAGTCAGGAATGTGGTCAGGTCTGTGGTTAGGACTGTGATCTGTTCTGTGGTCAGCTCTGCAGTCAGTTCCATGGTCAGTTCTGCAGTCAGGACTGCAGTCAGTTTTGTGGTAAATTCTGCAGTCAATTTCTGTGGTCAGGACTGTAGTCAGTTCTGTGGTCAGGTCTGTGATTAGTCCTGCGGTCAGTTCTGCGTTTAGTTCTGTGGTTAAGACTATAGTCCGGACTGGTCAGGACTGTGTTTGGTTCAGTGATTAGGTCTGTGGTCAGGTCTGTGATCAGTCCTGTGGTTAGTTCTGTGGTTAAGACATTAGCCCGGACTGGTCAGAACTGTAGTTATTCTGTGGTCAGGTCTGTGATCAGTCCTGTAGGTCAGTTCTGTGGTTAGTTCTGTGGTTAAGACTGTAGCCCGGACTGGTCAGGACTGTGGTCATTCTTTGGTCAGGTCTGTGATCAGTCCTACGGTCAGTTCTGTGGCTAGTTCTATGGTTAAGACTGTAGTCCGGACTGGTCAGGACTGTGGTCGTTTCTGTGGCCAGGTCTGTGATCAGTTCTGCAGCTAGTTTTGGGGTTAAGACTGTAGTCCGGACTGGTCAGGACTGTGGTCAGTTCTGCGGTCAGGACAGTGGTCAGGACTGTGGCCAGTTTTGCTCTGCTTACTTTCCCAGCCTTTCCAGCCTGGCTGCATTTAGGACACTCCCAACAGTTGGGCAGTTCCTCATTCACCACCCCGCCCACTTCCTGCACACAACACAGAGAAACTCAGAAACAAACAAAACTGCAACAAAACACAGCACACTCGTCCACTGCAGCGTCCATTCCTGTTTGTTCTGCCCATTTAACAGAAATCTGTTCTTTATTTCAGCTGTTAGTCACTTTCACTCATCTGTACTGAGTTTAAAGTTCAGTTCAGTATTATGTGTGATGTGATCTGACCTTCAGGCATCCTGGGTGAATGATTTCATTACAGATGGAGCACTCCATCAGCATCAGCCTAAACTGATCCTCCTGCTCCTCCTCCACCGTGTCCTCCTTCCCTGCCTCCCCACACACCGCACACACCGCCGTGTGAGGCAGCACAGGCTGTAACACACACATACATACACAGTGAAGTGAACAGGTAAAGGTGTTTCTGCTCTCCAACTTCATCTGTTTTTATGGAACACTAAGTTGTCTTGTATATCTGGTACTTGGCGAATAAAGGTTCTGATTCTATGTTAGCCTTTAAGACTAAAAAAGCAAAACATGTCTTGGCTGATCAACCACATTTGGGGTTAAGTGGGTACATTTTTGCTGGACTGGCACTGGGAGTTGTTGATCAGTAGGAATGAGTATCACTGCTCTGGTGGATGACCAATCAGAACAGAGTTAGCGAGCTGACCAATTAGAGCACGTTGGTCCCATCAGGAGGCGGGGCTTAAAGACACAGGAGCTCTAACAGAGCATTTCAGACAGAGGGTGAATAGAGATGTACAGTATGAGGAAAGTAATGTGTTTTTTTTTTTAACATTAAAGCTGTAAATGTATTTTAGCAGACCAAAAATAACATTATGAACACTGAAAATGAGTGTAATAGGTTCCCTTTAAAAGGAGGCATCATTCAGGAATCAGCACTGAAATAAATACGTAATGGTGCTGGTGTCAGTGCAGGAATATGCTGAACAGTATTTGTGTTGGGGCGGGGCAGTGTTGTATACTCACAGCGATGCACTGTCTCAGGATGCAAGTCTGCTTCATGCGGCCCGGACCGCCGAACTTCCTCATGTCCTTACAGAAGTGGCACTGACCGCACTCCGTCCGCACACACGCCTCGCACCGCCTGCATCGTGTTCGCCTGCGCCGTGCAGATGAGCTCCGAGCCCCGCACTGCGCCACGCGCGCTCTGGGACGAGCTGGAGTTCGCGGCTGCACACAAACACAGAAAACAGGAACATTAAAAGAGGACAATGTTATTTAAATGCAAACACACATATAAGGACTAATTTAGTCTGAAAAATCAGTATCAGAGGTTTGTTTAAATAGATCAGTACTGGCCATTTTAATCCAGATCAAATCCTGATCTCTTAAAGCTACTTTAAAGTCACTGAAATGTCTGCACTGTGGAATCATTTCATCATTATTTCACAAATATTGTACCTAAACTGGATTTCTGAGCTGTATTATCTATGAAAATACAAATACTGGCTTGGATTTGGTATAAATTAATCAAATAATTGTCAGTATATAAGTTCCCTGGATGAATAAAGCAAAAAAAGAAAAGGTGGATGATTTAACGTGCTGCATAACTTTAAGTGTTACCTTGACGGATTTCTTTGGCCAACAAACAACAGGCCTCCCTGTAATGGCCAGCTTGGGGTCATCATCTGCGTGTTCCTTTAGGAGCACCTACTCACACACAAACACACAGGGAGCTATATGACTTCTATTGTTTCATTTAAAAATTGCTCTGTAATGTTTATATGACCCACACAGTCATTCTGACAGACTGTAATACACTACAGGAAGTGTAGGGGGCGATATGACTTCTAATGCTTCACCATAACAGAAGAAATCAGAACTTTGAATGATGGTTGTGGTAAAGGGAGAGGAAATAAAGCAGAATAGTTTGATCAGTCAACTGACAAACTAATAGTTAATATTTATATTGATTAATTTATGATATAATTCATCTTTTATTTCCAGTACTGATTGATATGCAAAACTATGCTGTGCTAAGCTTGTTGAACATCTATTCTGGTTCAGCTCTATTACAGAGTGGACAATCAGACAGACACATCAGTGGTACCTTCATGTGTTGGAGCAGAGCCTGGGGGTCTTCTATCCCGTCTGGAATGCAGCGTTTACCTGCAGGCAGCGACTCCAGCTTCTCCACCAGCACCCGCAGACCGCTCAGCTCAAACTCCGTCAGGTGCGTCCAGCCGGCTGGTGCAGCGTCAACTGTGCGTTTAGGGTCCACCACAGGTTTGGGGTCCAAAATAGGTTTAGAGTCCACCACAGGTTTGGGGTCAGACACCGGCTTGGCATCCGACACAGGTTTAGGGTCAGGTAGCATAGACGCACTGCTGTCCTCAGAGTCACTGACCGGTTTGAGAGTGTGGGTGGTGTGGACCCTAGGATCTGACTGAACTAACTGCTCAGTGTCCGCCTGCGTCTCAGTGGACTCATCCATTTCCCCCCGCGGGTCAGAGATGGGACCTGAAACGGAGACTGAAGCTTTAGCCCTGATAGAACTACATTACCCACAATGCAACTCACACAGTTCCAGCCTCAAGTTTGGACCCACCTGATTAATTATAAATTGTAATACACAGGTTAAATCTACAGGTTTATAGTTAAATACTAGAAATGTGACAAACACAAATACAAATAGTGAAGGTGATGCCTCTGAATGGATTTATTTACTAAAGTTATTAAACAGATTGGACCCACCTGAGGATGAAAGCAAAACCTTACAAACTCACTATTTCACTTCCTTCCCCACACATTCATTTATTTACTCCCTCATTAGTTCTCTCACTGTTTCACCCCCTCCCTGCTCTGGTCTCTCTGTCTCTCACCAGTCAGGCTGGCCTCTCTCTGGAAGTCCTCGCTGAGGTAGGAGCGTTTGGTCAGGCACTGCACGTATCTCTCCAGCACGTACCAACACATCTCATAGAAGAATGGATAGCGGAACTTAGAGTGAACCTGAGAGGCACAAACAGAACCTTCAGCACCAGTTCAGTGAAATCACATTTACAGCCTTTTTTCACCCAGACATTATCTATCTTTAATGTACTCTGTTTATTACTATTATACTTCTCTGTCTATTATTTCTATCACCATCATCACTATCGCATAACCATTACCTCCTCCATCATCACCACCAACACCACATTACCATTATCACCACCATCCCCATTATCACCACATTACCATTACCACCACCCCATTACTACTATCACCACCACTACCCCATTATCATCGCCAGCAGCATCACCGCCACAAATACCATCATCGCCAGCACCATCACCACCCTCACCATTATCACCATCACCACCATTACCATCATTATCACCACTATCACATTACCGCCATCACCACATAACCATCATCATCATATCTACAGCACTTCTATCACCACAATCACCACTGTCATATTCCCATCATTATCTTCACCATCATTACAATAAACATCACCATCACTGTTATGACCTCCATCACAGAGAGGTGATGTTTTGAAAGGTAAAAGCTGAAAGCTGCTCACTTTAGTCCTGTTCTCAATGTCGTATACACGAAGCTGCATGGGGATGTTGAAGCTGTGGAGCAGATTCCCCCCAAACACCAGAGAGTCCTCCGGAGTGTAGACGGCATGGATCCACCCTGCACACACAAACACACACGCACGCACGCACGCACACACACACGCACGCACACTTGCTTGTGTTACCTGTTTTAAACCTGTTTGTGTCATATTGTTTTCTGATTTAACACATCCTGTGTGGTCTCCACCTTTACACACTGGTGTGTCTAGTTAAAGACCGAATGTGTTGTTTTTTAATACATCTGTTTTACGAGTGTAATGTGTTGTAATGTGTGGTATTCAGTACTAACCTGATGGGATGAAAAAGGTGTGGCCCCGTTTGAGTGTGATCCGCTGGCAGCCCTCTGCTTGATCGCCCAGAAACACATCACTCTGCTTCCCTGACAAAACCCACTGCTCATACAGCTCCAGATTACTGGGTGACGGGGGGATCAGCCAAAACACCTGCAGAGAGAGAGAGACAGACAGAGAGAAAGAGAAAGAGAGAAAGAGAGAGAGAGAGAGAGAGAGAGAGAGAGAGAGAGAGAGACAGAGCGCAGGGGGATGTTAAAGCAACATTATGTAACAATTTCACCTTAAAATAAAAGTTTTAACAAATAACATTTTGCTGCTACACCGACTTAGAATAGTGAGAACGGCGTCATTGCTCAGTCATTGCTGGAACACCTGCTATGTAACTTTGGAGGAGCAGAACAAGAATGTGTCGCCAGAACTGCGTAATGCTTTACAGCACCATGTTGTCGCAGAAAGCGAGAAGGAGAAAAAGAGAGTGTGACCAAGCAAGAGACTCGTTGGTGAGAGCTAACAAAGACAAAAGGATGCAGGACAGTCTCACAACAACTCCGACAGCAGAGTGTTCATCCCAGCCAGTGTTATTTATGAAAGACTGCACCATCAGCTGTAACCTTATCTGTGTTGTCCCTCTCTCACAGAGTTCTGTGGTTTTTCCGGATGCTAAAAGTCATCTAACTTCAGTCCTGTTTCAGACTAGCACGCAAAAAAAATCATCTTATCCCAAAACGCTTGGTCAGTCTGTCATTCTTACGTCAAATACGCCTTGAAAGTTTGTAACAAAATCCTGTAATGTTACTCTACCTTGCAAGTCCACATGGTTCTTTCTCTTCTGATGTCGTTTGCTGGTGTTGTGCTGAATTCCGACTCCCTGGCAGAATCTAATTCTACTTCACATGCACTCACCTTACACAGGCACATGGACGCTACAGATTACAAATCACAATTTACACATAGAAACAACTAAAATCGTGAGTGTAATCTGTAGCATCCATACGCCTGTGTGATGCGCGTGCACGTGAAGGGGAACTGGACTGCACGTTGCGACCCCGACTGTAACTGTAGCTGTCCATGAGGGGGCAATCAAAGCGCGATTTGTATTTACGACAGTGGTGTAAAAGTGAAATATATTCTGATACTGTAGGGGGAGCCCAAGAGCAAAAATATACCAATTCTCGCATAATGCTGCTTTAACTGATTACAACATTACAGCATTTATAGCAGAATGTCTCAAATGGCAGGATGTTCCACACTCACCTTCTCTCCTTTAAAAACGTGGTACCACACTGAGGTTCCACCGAAGTCGATGTGAAAATCAGTATAACATCCTTTGACACTCATCAGACAATACCTAGAGAGAGAGAGAGAGAGAGGGAGAGAGAGAGAGAGAGAGAGAGAGGGAGAGAGAGAGAGAGAGCAAATGAGAAAAGCAGAATTAAAGTAAAATCTGGTGCTGCGTCCTGCTGCAGGACATACCTCTGGACTTTGGGGTACTTCATCTCGGAGATGACATTGGTGGCTTCAGTTTGTCTCTGTTTCAGATGGAGTGGCCACATGTTGTCCACCCAGTCCACCAGGTCCACCTGAAAACATACATCACACCCCTCAAATCCACTGTGTTTACAGCAAAACCACTGCTAAAATCCAAAACAACCTGCGCAGGACACAATTAGAGCGATGCAGAACCTAGAACCCTTTCAGGGTTGCAGGGAACACAAGAGTAAATGATTAAAAATGTTACTATGACACTAAACTTCAGTGTTCTATTAAACATCCAGGAAAGCTTGAAAGAAAAATTTAAGATATTAATATGAAAAAAAAACGCTGATCAGACCTAACTAAGACCTGTGTGGGCGTGGGCCAGAGACACAGCCTTGCGATTGGTCAGGGGAATGCTTATGGAGGTGTTACCCAAGTTTACCACGAGAGGAGAGAAATATGGTGAAACATACTGGTCATTCATTAGACTCTGGTAAGGGTTTTATAACGAAACACTTTGTCCGTGTATATTTTGGGCCCAGACGAGGAAGATTAACTTAATTAGAAGGAAAACTCAGATTTAGGTTCCCTGGAGCTTTAACACAGGATATATCAGAACGTGTTCACTAAAAGTAGCAGAATGGCGTTTGTGTACCACAGCAGGTCTCTGGATGAGGCTCTCCAGTTTGGTGTGGCTGAACTCCAGACTGATCACATTGAACAGTTTCTCTCTCTCCTCCTCCGGAGTCTCGTAATAACGAACAAACTGGGCCATGCTCATCTCCGAGCCCTTCTGAGTGCTGACGTCCATCACATCCACCGTCCGCCGGCTTCCTGCACACAGACACAAAAAATGTCCTTATTATTACAACGTCACAAATGAAGATTTAGAATGTGTTTGAGACTGGCTGCACTTTTTCTGTCTCACCACTAGAGGGCAGAGTCACAAAGGAAAGGCTCTCTAGAGTTAAAACTGCCATCACTCTGACCAAGATAAGGAAACGTAGCCATCACTACACCTGCTGTAAACGTGCTAACATCTCCTCCTACAGGTGAGTGAGATTTTCCTCTTTAAACGACTAATCTACCTCATCAGGATGTATCATGAAGATGGGAGTCCAAGTGACTTTTCTCTGTGGGAAAAAGGATCTCGAATTAAAATGTTCCAAATCTGATACGTTTCATTTGTGTTCGTTTGACTGTTGATTGGATCCTCTCAGTTACGACACTGTTACAGACTTAAAATACAAACAGTGGACTCGCGCATCAGACTCAACTCGGACTTCAGAGACTCGACTGGCACCTCAGAGACTCGACTCTTTACACAGTGATTCGCGCATCAGATACTCTCGAGAGTCCACTCTGACTCGCACCCCAGAGACTCGACTCGGACCTCACACTCTCACACTTCAGACTAAACTCTGACTTGCTCCTCGGAGTCTCTATCCACTCAAATCTCAGAGACTCTCCAGTTGACTCGTACCTCAAAGACTCCAAACCTGATTCAAACCTCAGAGACTCGAGACTCTGACTCACACCTAAGAGACTCAAGACTGACTTACAACTCAGACTCAACTCTGACTCTCAACTCAGAAGCTCAGCTCTTACCTCAGAGACTTGAGGCTCAGATTCTGACATACACCTTAAAGACTCTCAACTTAATTCGCACTTCAGAGACTCTCGACTTGACTTTGACTCGCACTTCAGAGACTTTACTTCGACTCGTTCCTCAGAGACTCTTGACTCAACTCTGACTCGTGTTTCGGAGACTCTTGACTCAGCCCTGACTCGCGCTTCGGAGACTCTCGGCTCTGACCACCGGCTCTGACTCACACTTCTGAAACTCTCGGCTCTGATTCGCGCTTCAGAGACTCTCAACTCAACTTTGACTCACACCTCAGAGACTCTCGACTTTGACTTGCACCTCAGAGACTCTCGATTCAACTCTGACTCACATCTCAGAGACTCGAGACTTTGACTTGCTCTTCAAAGACTCGATACTCTGACTCAAACTCTATACGAGGTCTGATTAGGTGGAGTCAGAGCAGTGAGCGCTGAACATGCTGCTGTAAATGAACTGAGATTTCTTTGCTGATGTGTTTTCAACACATCCGTACATTCTCTCACTAATGACCAAAAACTAACTACAAACTAAAATTAGAAACATTAAAACACGAATTATGACAGAGCCATTAACTGAAAATGTGGAAAAATCAAAATAATAAAATAACTCTAATCTCAGTAAAAGCACAGAACTTAGCTGGGTTCATCATCACATTATCTCTCCCTCTGGGATCAGAGCTGAGAGCAGCTAGAATGAGATAAACCATGAAACCAGACAGAAATGTTCTCAGCAGCCTCCAGCAGCTCTGAGCAGCCAGGACAGAGTCAGACTCATTTAGCTTAAACAGTACACAGAGCTGAGTGTGAACACTGATGATAGTTTCGCATCAGATTTACTGATATTAAATATTAGATATTTTCACATGCATATCTGCCTATGTACAAACACTATGTATAGTGACTCATATCAGGAGTGTCATTACAGAGACCTGTAACATGTATTTGTGTTATAAATACAGCAAAATTAATACAATGCAGATGTTTCAGTTCAGAAACTCAGTCACCTAAATTCTCTGCTCTCCTGCAGTTCAATACACACATCACACATCTGAAACATTAGACAAATATAAACTCTAATACTGATCATTTTTAAAGCAATTCTCTGCAGATATCAAAGTGCATCCTTAATATGTTGCCGTGGTGACCATAGTGAAAATGATGAGATCAGAGTTCAGTCTGCGTGTGAAATACCAGCCTGGTTTAAATTCACTGTAAACACTGAGATATGAGCAGTATCTGGATGCAGAAGGTTCAGTGAAGAGTCTGCCGTTCTTATCCATTCCTGACACATAAAGCTGGTGTTAAACTGGTCAGCTCTAATCAGTCGGAGAGAGAGTCGAGTTGTGTGTGAGGGTGTCGCAGGCTCAGATTTTGGCCTCCTGATCGAGTTTCAAACCAGTCTGAGCTTAACAAACGTGTGATTTTTTTGACCCAACTCTGGATGTAATCTAGTGTAAACTGGTCAACGACTCCATCTGAACGGATTCCTCCAAAAGCCAATGAAAACTGAGAGCACAAAAGAAGAAAATACAGCATGTAAACAAAGAAAAATGGCAAAAGGTCACTCGTGTGTGGAGTAAAGCTTTTTAATGAGCTGAGTTTAAGGCAGAAGCGAGTTTATGATGAAGTGTGAGTTCTGTGAATTTGGTTCAGTTCAGCGACTATTTAAAAGTTGAGCGGTGTGTGATCCCCAAATAAAAGGCACGCATATGAGGTCACACTCACTGAGTGTCAGCATTAATGAAATGTGGATCTGCAGCTGACATTTGGTCTCAGCTTTGCTAGATTTTGATATATATATCATATATTTAGCATCTTCATTCTCATCTGTATTTAATGTATCTGTAAAGTTTTTGTTGGCATTTATTAAAACACATCCATGATGATGAGCCTTGTGTTTTAAAAACAAAGAGGAGATGTTTAGACGGTGTTAGCTCCCCAAAACACACCCAGTTTTCCTTATAAGGAGGCAACATTACTCCACAAGGCATGTTTAGACACTTAGCCAGATAACTTTGTAGATTTGGAAGTTCTACTCAGAACAGAGAAACATTAAAAATCATGATGACCACAAGAATTTATATTTCACTCTCGAGTCCAGTTGCCTTTAATTTAAGCAGATAATCACTTGTTTCACTCCCAGCTTTGTTGTTTACTCTAATAAACACAGCCAGGTTGCAGAATGTTTTGTCACTCAGCCCGACAGAGGGGGTGTATTCCAGTGGGAAAGTGAAGTTAATGCACATCTCTATATTTCATTCACCTAAAAAATCTGCAGAGAATCTGTCTGACAGTGTGATATGCCCAAACTTTTATAATCTGTTGGGACTTTAAAAGTTGTGGATCCAAGGCTTCACCAAAACCTTCTTAGCCCTAGTCCCATTTCACCCCTCACCCCTACCACTCTGCCCTTCCCCTCCATTTTGCGTGTTCTTGTCTAGGTGTAGGGTGTCCTGATTCTTGTTGAGACAGAGGAGTAGGGTGAAGTATTAGGGCTACATGGCCCTCCAAACAGAGGTTTTTCAGAGACACACTCCAAACAGAGTGTTATGAGAAAAAAAGAAAAAAAAAAAACGGCAAGATGGCTGCACAAGTGACCAAAGAAATTTTACTGTTAAACAATTATGATAACTACTGTATTATCTTAGTATAATGTAGTTTCAGTGTATTATGGTCCTTTTCTTCATAATGGGCATTAATCACTAGTATGCTGATGTCTCGGTAGCTAGCCAACTAAATTTCCCATTCCACCTTAAATAAAACTATTTAAGGTGGAATGAACGAGAAGCTGGCGAATAGCTGAATTCAGCTTCATATCACTGAAGAATTAGTGGTGGGTGATAACAAATAATTGCCCCTCTTTGAAGGCATATGATGTCCTAAATGTAACTTAAGCCCAGCAGCGATGTTTGCTACCCTCCTCTGCTATCACTGCAGACTGGTAGGTTCGCCTACAGAACGCCACTAGTAGCCTGTTAATGAAGTAATGCTCTTTTTTATTTGAGGGTCCCATTTCTTAGGGAAGATTTCAATCACTACCCTGTAACTCAGTTCCAAGGGGCAAGGTGACACTCAAAAACAAGGGGTAGGGGTAAAAATAAGAAATGGGACTGGGCCTCAACTACGGGTCATATTCACGGTCAATGGCATATCAAGAACCTCCAGAAGAACTAGAGTGATGGTTTTGGTTCCAATCATTGTAAATCAAAAGTGTGAGTGGTTCACTCCCTAATGATGTTAGTAGTTAATCTAACATGCAATACCCTAAGTGCAGCTTTTGAAGTACTGACCAATGAGAGAGCAGCTTGACTGTGCACATAGATACTGCAGAGAGAACAATCCTGATTGGATTATTTTCTGTTGGGCATTGCCAGATTTTAGGCCCTTTGCTTCCAACAAAAACTAACCAGTGAAATAAGAGTTTTACTACAACACTTACAGAGTTTAAATACAACTGGACTGATGATTCTATTACAGATGAGACGAACTAAACATTACAACCCTGAAGGTTCCCCACTGCATATTTCATATTTTCACTGTATAGTCCTTGCGTAGTTATCAAGGGGATGTCTGAAGTGAACTACAAGATAACAAACAAAAAGAAATCAGCACACTTACCCACCAGTCCTTTAATTTCACTCACAGTAAACTCTGGCTCAGGCATCCTGAAATAAAGCAACACCACAGTCAGTCTGAGAGGCGTTTTCGGTCTTCAGTGTGTGGAGTTCTGCTCAGGTGTTGAGGTGGTTACCTGATCCCCAGCCCCTCTTTGGACTTAAACACCAGGGGCATGCGCAGGGCTTCTCTCTGGACGTACTCGTAGGTAAAATCTACAGATAAATCACAGTGTCAGTGGGTTTTATTTTAAAGAGTGTTGCAAAGATGTGTTAAGAGGAGTTCTACAGCCTCCTCACGCTGACAGAACAGACGTGTCTTTAAACCTGCAGGGAACTCTTACCTTTGCCTTCCATAAAGTGCACGAAGCTGCTGTTGTAGCGATCACTCTGCAGTTTGTCCTCCAGGTCAAATCCTCGAATGTTCACAATGTCTTCCACATCAGATAAGTCTTCATTTTCATCATACATTCTCCTGCAGACGGAGCGCTGTGTGCATAGACACGCATACATAAAAACAGAGACAGGTAAGAGCAGATTAGAAGCAGTGCAGTGCAATCTAAAGGGGAATTTGACCGATGTTTCAAAATTCCTGCATAAATCAGTGGTTTGGTGTAAAATGGTTGATTGTAGAGACTCTGATTTCTTTACAGCGGTGGTGATCGAGCTGGACAATATTTATCATGATCGTGATCAGTTACATCACAATGTGCTTTTCTGCGTATATTGCATTGATAGTCAGTACTCAAAAACTTTCCAACTGCTCATTTGTTCAAAAAGAGAGCCTAATTAGTCCTGTTTAATTAATACAAACAGACAGACTCATAGTTACTGACAGTACTTTTTAAAAGTTGCACTACTTTGTGTGTTCCAACTTATCAGAAGTCAGAAAAAATAAATTTTGTGACATCATGAAACATTTCTGCCATACTGCCCAGCTCTAGGTGACAGGAACCAGGGGTTGCCATGACTACAGCACAAACATAGCCATTTTACTTATTTAGCCCAGATTTAAAAAAAATAAAAAAAATCAGGATCCTGCTCCAAATTCTGCAGAGAATCCTCCAGCTGTTCTGCATTGAATTTAAAGGGGAGGTCCATCGATTTCTCAAAATTCTCCCATAATTGAGTGCTTGAGATGTAAACAGAGTGATTGAGTGGTTTGGTGTGAAATGGTTCATATTTCTTTACAGTGGTGGTAATAGTAGAGCTGGACAATATTTATTATCATAATCATTTTGCCTCATAACACCCTGCATAGTATGTATCCCTCCATCATAAATGGATTTTGAGTTCTCAAAACTATCATAAAACAATGTCTCAGTCATCAGGCAGTGAATTCATAACCAATTTATATAATAACTTTCTGTGAGGGAGCTTTTGGAGGTGGACGCCTGGTTCCTATCACCACCACTGTGAAGTTTCTCTAGAAACCAGATAACTTTGTTTACATCTCAGCCACTTCATCATGCAGGGGTTTGGGTCAGTTTACCTTTAAAAGCCCTGCAGGGGGGGGGGGGTCTGGTACCCCCTTCTACCCCCTTAAAGCGAAACGCGTGACGCAATGTTTTGGTTCGGCTGGCCGTGACGTCACTGGCCACTACACGAAAAAAGATGGCTCCTGCTTAGCTAGTTCAGAGGGCTGTGTTTTGATTTGGCAGCAGATCGGAGAGCTGGAGAGCCGTGATGGAGGTGACGGAGGTCTTCTCGGCTCTGCGGGGCTGAAGGAGCGGAGATGGTGGTGATGATGATGATGGTGATCATGATGATGATGGAGCCGTGTGAAGAGTCCGGCCGCAGGCTGGTCTGTATCTGCAGCATGCACGCGCACTTTACACGGGAGTGGGGGGCACGAGAGAGAGTGTTAGTGTTAGTGTTGTTAATGGCCTCCATTTCACCAGGCTTAAGCTGGCTTCCTATTCGAATTTTCCCGTTCCACCTTAAATAGTGCAGCAGTTATCTTCTGGCGCCTGAGGCACCATTTAAGGTGGAACGGGAACATTCGAATAGGAAGCCAGCTCCAGCTTCGTGTCAGTGTTAGTGTTGCTAATGGCCGAGCAGTGTTTGGTGTGTTGTAGCCGCGTGTACGCTAACTAGCTCGCTCGCGCTGCTGCTGTATTCGACTCGATGTAAACAAACGAGGACAGTCAGAAATCCATCCGCCGCCGCACAAACGCACAAAGAGCCGCAGCAGCAGCAGCAGCAGCAGCGTGTCCGCGCGAGAGTGCAGCATGTTCATGCATTCAAAAGTTGCAGATCAGCTCGAGCTGTTTCTTTCCTCTGAAGTTGTTTTTAATGTCTTGTGCGCGCGGGCTGGGTTGTGCAAAAGGCACAAGGCCTGAATCAGGACCACAAACATACAGCCTGACCTCCACGTGCCTGAGCAGGGTGTAGTATTAATATCAATACTTTTATGAAAATTATTGTTTAGCTCTGTGTATTGAGCCTGGAGGGCTTTTAAAGGTAAACTGACCCAAACCCCTGCATGATGAAGTGGCTGAGATGTAAACAAAGTTATCTGGTTTCTAGAGAAACTTCACAGTGGTGGTGATAGGAACCAGGCGTCCACCTCTAAAAGCTCCCTCACAGAAAGTCATTATGAAATGGTTATGAATTCACTGCCTGATGACTGAGACTCCTTATAGCTGTTCTGAATAACTATATCAACTTTAATGGTGTTTATGCGTCTACATAAACATTATCATGTGTTTCTAATTAGTTATAATCATATCTTTAAACTCATTCCATTCATACAGTGTGTAATATGTCATGCACGCGCTGTTTTTGCGTTTCTTTTTTGCTCATTTTAATGATCATCCTGTTAAATGCACAACCTCAGAGTCGTGCTCGTGCTCGCTTCCCAGCTCATCACGAGCTGCGCTCTGAATCTCGATTATAATAATATTAACCGGGTATTAGTGCGTGCGGCTCACCTGCGTGTACCTCGAAAGGCCAAATTAGCTCGCGCAGGATTCCCCCTAAAGCTTCTGAGCGCGTGTGCACTTAACTGTACGAACGCTGGAGCGCTTTATGAATACCTGCACTGCTGAAAAAGACCGTTCAAACCATTAGGATTAGAACATGGCTTTTGCTTTCTAATGGAAATTGGGTTAAAATTAACATTAAAGTTTCCAGTAGGACACCTGTTAGACCATTACACTCCTTTACACTGTGTTATCAACTCTTCATGAACACACAGAACACCATCAATGGCTACTGAAAACCACAACGAGTAAGTTGACCCCTCTGATGGTTTCTATGAGTCAAAGTGCTGCTACATTAGCACTGATTAGTACGACACACAAGCCTGAATAACACAACAGCTGAGATTTGCACCGGCAGGGCATAGTGCACTAGTCTTGCGGTGCATTGTGGGAAATGTAGAGCCCCGCCCTCTAAAGCGCAGCAGGAGCGTTTGTGCAGATAGACGCTGATGCTGCTGGAGAGGGAGAGGAGCAGAGAGCTGAAGGTCTCACTGTATTGAACTCGAGATAAAGAGAGAGACAGACAGACAGAGAGAGAGAGGGGGATTATTTTGGCCATGACCAGTGAGCACTCCCTGCAGGCTCTAAGCTGGAGGAAACTGTACCTGAGCAGAGCGAAGCTGAAGGCTTCCAGCAGAACCTCAGCTCTGCTGTCAGGATTCGCCATGGTGAGTAAACACAGCCCTGACACTGACTGACCGTCTCATCACTCAGAGCGCAGGTTACAGAGCTGATGCTGCAGCGCTGTTCTGTGGTCTGGCTGCCTTTATAGTCTGTATGCACCAGTGCTGAGCAGCTGTGCTGATACACTGCTGCAGGAGGAGGACACTCCGTTTAGCAGAGTGAGACAGTGATGAGTGTGGGGAGTGACACTGCAGCCTGGGTTGGTGTCTCAGTGGAGACTCACTGGAGCTCAGAGTGAAAAAAGCAAACAGGATGCTGCACCAAATTCTGCACAGAATCCTGCTGCTCAGCTTTGCTTTTAAAGGGGAATTCCACTAATTTCTTAAAATTTCCTGTTTGGTGGTTTGGTGTGAAATGGTTCAGATTTCTTTATAAATAAAATATAGACATTTTATTTACTATCCAAAGCCACCAGTGAACCTGCATGTGTCTTCTGAGTTTTATATGGAATGTTGACGATGGGAAAATAGTGGTAAATCTGAAATAAAACATTTTCTTTGGGGACTATTTTGCCTCACAGTGCCCGGCATGTTATATATCCTTCCATCATAAATGGATTTTGAGGCTGAAATCTTCTCAAAACTATCATAAAACAATGTCTCAGACATCAGGCAGTGTATTCATAACCATTTCATGTAATAACCTTCTGTAAAGGAACCTTTGAGGTGGATGTCTGGTTCCTATCACCACCACTGTGAACAATTCTGTTTCAGTAAGTTTCTCTAAAGTGGAGCGTTTCACACCAAACAACTCTGAACGACTCTGTTTGCATCTTAACCAGTTAATTAAGCAGGAATTTAGAAAATCACTGGATTTCCCCTTTAAATATATAACGCAATGTTTGGCAGGCCAGGGGCACAATCCTATCGGGCCTGCAAAAACATTGTAATTTTCTATTAATATTAGATTTTATAGTGCTCTGGACTACAATCCCCAGCATGCACTGCAATGTAATGTGTGCTCCAACCCCCCAACAACAATCTATAGGACAGCAGTTACAACACACAAAGAAAAGATGCCAGGTGTGAAGTTCAAACAAATTGGCAGATTTAAAAAAGGTAAATTAATAGCCATTAATATGTACAGACACAGACCTACATGTAGTACAAGTTTATTTTAGTTCATTTTGCTGAATAACACAATAAACAATGGCCAGCTCAGATTATACCAAATGTTAATTAAAGGTGAAATAAGAACAGGCGTTTTCTGGCCCACAGGTTTGTTGCGATTTTTGTAAAATGGCCCTTGTAGTGATTGAGTTTGACACGCATGATCCTGTGTCTGTGTCTGTTTAGGTCGCGATGGTGGAGGTCCAGCTGGACACCAGCCATGACTACCCCCCCGGCCTGCTGATAGCCTTCAGCGCCTGCACCACCGTGCTGGTGGCTGTTCACCTTTTTGCTTTAATGATCAGCACCTGCATCCTGCCCAACATCGAAGCGGTCAGCAACGTCCACAACCTCAACTCGGTGCGCGAGTCTCCTCACGAGCGGATGCAGCGGCACATCGAGCTGGCCTGGGCCTTCTCCACGGTCATCGGCACGCTGCTCTTCCTGGCCGAGGTGGTACTGCTCTGCTGGGTGAAGTTCCTGCCTGTTCGACCGCGGCAGCAAAAGAACGGCACCATGCCCGCCGGAGTGGCGGCCGCCATCACCTCCACCTCCATCATGGTGCCCTTCGGCCTCGTCTTCATCGTCTTCGCCGTCCACTTCTACCGCTCGCTGGTCAGCCACAAAACTGACCGCCAGTTCCAGGAGCTGGAGGAGTTGGAGGATCTCCAGAACGAACTGGACCAGAGAGGAGAAGCTTCAGCCCTGCATTCTCCAATATCGCAGTGACCCTGACCGCTCCAGGCCTGAAGCTCTGCTGCAGCTGGGTTAGCTTACCTGGGCAGGTAGAACGCTGGAGCTGGGCTGATACGGTCAACGTCGTCACAGCTGTTTTTGTTCAACAGCAGAGAGAAAGTAAAGAAAAGGAAGCCAGAACGTTCATTCCAATATTCCAAATATTATTTAAATATTTTTTAATATTTCTTCCGCCCAAAAAAAGTAGTTCCAGCACAATTCCAATAGTTCCGGCATTGCTGTTGTTGCTTAGCAACTGATGGTCAGTGAAATGATGTGAAACAACCACACTGCTATTACATATAACAATTCAGGTAGAACATTTTTCAGCCAATCAGACTGTCTGGACGGAACTATCATTGTTTAGATTGTGGGCTGATATCTATCAATCATGTTTACTCATGTATTCACAACTGCAGTAAAATGAATAAAATGCACATATTTTAGGTAGAAACTCAGCATCACCCAAACATTCAGCTCTTCTGGGCCCGTATTACTGAAACATCTTACCTCTGAAATCTGATGTGTTTAGTCTCTATGAAGTTGAATTTAGGACAGTAGCTATTAAAGAATAGCAGTTCCTAACTTCATAATCTTATCATTAACTCCAGAAAAGAAACCAGTATTACACAAACATCTTAACTAATCTCCTAAATACTGTCCTAACTTTAGGATAAACCCCAACAGTGTCCTAACTTCTGTTCAACCATCCCTTTCAACTGTAAGCTGTTCTAATGAAAAGAGAACATTTATTGTTTTTAGGCAGCTGTGACAGCCGTAAGTTTACTGGCTTTAAACAGTGTATTTATTCAGATTACAGAAACTTTGTGGTTCAGAAAACCCCAGACAGACACGTTCAGTCTGCTTCACTCTCGTTATGTCTACATCTGTTAAAGTCAGTGAAAAGGTATTTTTTTATGTGTGTATGGTCGGTTGCTAGGTAACAGACATAACAATCGATTAGTGATCTCCATCGAGTAGGTTACGATTTCCTAACTGGAGATAAAATGCTGTAAGATAAAATTCCTAAATTAAGATCGAATTTGCTTCTGTAGTACAAACTACTGTAAAATCTTCACCGGTCAGATCTTAACATTAAATTTTGGACGTTTCTGTAATACGGCTCCTGGAGTTTATCAATAATTGATTTGAAATATCAGTGAAATCTACACATTTATCTAATAATGATATTTTTTATCATCCTCGTTCTCCAACATCTTCATTAGTTTGTTCTTAAATGTGGTCTTGAGAAAGGTCCTAAGAAAAAGTCTACATCATGTTCTTAAAGCGCAGAACTGTTCTTTGTGCTCTTGAGTGTGTAGATTCTGTTCTTACCTAAGAACAAACCCGAGTAAACTTTGGTGAATGTCAGGATCTACGTCAGAAAAGCATAAGTGGGTTTAAGAAATTTCTTCTTAAGAGCGATTGGTAAATGAGGCCCAGTGAGCTTAACTAGACTTTCTATGTAAATTTGGAGTGACACAGATTTTATCCCGAACCAATCAGCCCATCAGATCCCCACATTACGTCAGACGAGCTCCTGTGGGAAACTAATCCAGCTGCACTAGTGCAGATGTGAGCCTGTTTTTATAGCTGTACTGTGTCTGTCTAATTCTGCATGTGGATATTCAAACACAATCATTCTGTGCTGTGTTTGTGTTTGTTTTTGTGAGTGTGTGTGTGTGTGTGTGAGTGTGTTGGAGTCTGAGGCTGCGTTCATGTTCCAGGCCTCATTGCTCAGATCCCGACATTCCATGAAGAAATTCAAAGCACAAACTTCGCTTTAATTCATGCAGCCACTCTAACCATCAAAGCTGTGCTCACATCAGGTTTTTAGTTATTCATTTTTGAAGTAAAAGTCTTAAATGTTGAGCTTAATTGCTTACAGAATGACCGAAATATTAACTAAAAATGCAGCACTAACCTTAACATTTCACTTTAAATGAGCGATTTAATATTTCATCTTTCAACATTAAAGGGGCAATTCCACTTTTCAAAATGATAATTAAGTAGATAAGATGTAAACAAAGCTTTTGGATTAAAATGTAATGTTGCAGGGATGCAGAGTATTGTGAGGCAAAAAATGTATTATTTCAGATTTTCCACTATTTTCCCCTCATCAACATTCCATATAAAATTCAGAAGACACATGTAGATTCACTGGTGTTTTTGGATAGTAAATAAAATGTCTATATTTGTGTTGTAGTCATGGCGACCCCTGGTTCCACTGTAAAGAAATCTGAACCATTTCACACCAAACCACTCTGAATCACTCTGTTCACATCTCACACACTTAATTAAGGAGGAAATTTGGAAAATTAGTGGACTTCTCCTTTAATTTACTGCACGCCCATTTTAGTCAGATTTAAAGATACACTCTGAGCTCCAACTGGCTATATGGTCATGTCTCTTTAACATAAAAGTAGTCATATTTAGTGATATATTTATTTTAAAAATTGTGCTGCTCAAGTTCTGTAATGTGAACGCAGCATTCTACACTGTTGCTGCTGCTGTTATGATGATGATGATGTTTACAGACGCAGCAGTGACTGCATGCACTAAAATGCTTTTATAACAATGAACGCGTCCATGGATGTTTTACAGTCTTCGTTTCACAGACGGACACTCTTTTATTCCGTTGTCACTCATGACAGCAACTGTAGTTGGTCATTTGCAAGGTCATTAATATAAAGCAAGCTCTATTTTTAAAGATTATGCTTCTGTATTATTTTGTACATGGATCACTGAATAGTACAAGAGTTCATAGAGCAGAATGAAGCTGTTAGAAAGAAATTTGTAATGTTTTTAGTTTATATTTTGTTCCTGATTGCTCTTCACATCAGTTATGCTTTCATGGACGTCATCTGAGCCCCTCAGTATTCTACTGTTACAGATATCAGTGCCAAAATGTTCTTAACTCAGATTTTTTACTTTACTGTCATACATTTGTATTGAATTTTGATAGAAAAGCGTTTGATCTGGTGAGCACTTTATGGTAAATGAATGTTTACATTATCTTTGATAATGTGTTAAAGACTCTTATTTTGAAAAACAGACCTCACAGGGCTTGAAATGAAGCAGTGCAGGATTTCTCAGTTAGCCTGATGAGCTAAAGGTGAAGAAATAGCTTTACCTCAGATGTTCTGGCTTTAGTTGTTTGGTTTAAATGATCTGTCTAACTGAAGACACTTCTCTGTGTGTGAGAGTAGAATCTGACTCTTTATTATTTCATTTTTACTTCAGTGTTTTAGAGTAGATGTGCTGTCCGTCTGAGTTAGTGGCATTAGCGCTGTTCTGAAGCGCTGTGCTAATTTGAAAACATCACGATTAGGAAAGCGGCCTTGCCGGTTTACACAATTTAGTCATTTGTATGACCAAATATAATTAGACACAAATATTATCAGAATGTTTACATGAGCAGTGTTTTTGAGCCACTTTTGTACGGATTTATTCTGTATCTGTGCAGAGCGTTGTACTGGATTAACAGCTTTTTCATACACTTATCATGAACTTCAGAATTTTTGATCAAATAAAACTGAATCTCATACAGAGCTGTGTGTGACTGAGCGGTCTTTACTTTCTGAGAGGGCCCTGAAGAGTATCTGAGATTTGAGTTATCAGTTTTATTGATATACTACAGTACAAACCCCAGTGATAATCATACTGTTTCATATTTTAATCATTCTGATTATGATATATGATTATCATCTTTTTATAAAGAGTTGGTGGAAATTAACAGCATGTATGAAAAGTGGAAAAATAGTTTTTCTAATATTACAGGCACTTTTACACAGTCATAGAGGTTCCATGTAAACTTCATGCCAACATATATATGCTCCATATCACCACAAAATATATTCATTTACTATTAAAAAACATAGATACTTTAATTTCAAAGAAAAGGAAGTTAAAAAGCCAGTGTTTTGCTTTTATTCAACATGTTGTTGTATTCTGCATCCTTTAGAAGGTCTGTCACACAAAATAGACAGAGAGAAGAGATTTTTAATGATTTTTGCAATATTTTCAGAAAAATCATGTAACTCACTGCTTAAGGCTGATGCTAGAAGGTTTAAGGTGGAGAACAGAGAGTATGGCAGCCAGTTCAGCCTGTTAAGTTCAGTGTGGTGGGCTGTTCTCAGCATTAACTGACACAAAACGTGATTACTTAAAAAAGATGGTTCTTCAGGAGTTATTGAGCACAGACAATGGTTCCATATAGAACCATGAATACTGAAAAACCACTAGCATGCTTAAATTGCTCTTTGCATCGTGATTCCTCAGAATGATGGAGAATGTGCTGTAGATGTATATCCTACTTCTGATTATACAGATCACTGCTGATGCAAAGCCTTTGCAAATGTCTACAGTGGAAACGTCAAGTGTGTGCCAAGGAAAAACGTTAACAAACCACAGACCTATCAAAAGATAGCTGCTTTACTGACACAGCTATCCAGCTGTGGTTTGGGGCATGTATTTAATACAGTTTGCAATGGGTTACGTCTTATCCCCACATTTAACATCAGTAGTCAAAATTACAGTTTAAATGCATAATTAAGCGGTGGTTTTGGGCAGTTCGGTTATGTTAAATTGTATCTACTTAACTAGCTAACCTAGCTAACAGATGGTTTTCACCTCTAACTTCCAGCACTCTGCTGTTTTTCTCCAAATTGTTTACTGGAAAAGTCTTAGAGATCCCTCTCATCTCCACTTCGTGGAAGACTTTCTTCTCATTCTTTTAAAGGTGGAATTAAAGAGTGTAAAAACAGAAATGGGGCGTCCATCAAAAAAGGCACACTGGATCGTTCCACATGATGCTTTGCCTCTGCTGGTCTAGACAGCTTCACCAATTATAATGTAAGTCTTTTGGTTTTGTGTTTTCGCTCACATCACTTGCTGTCAGGACATGGTGTTAACAGTTAACAGTTAACAGTCAAAACAGCTGTTTAGATTTTATCATAAGTGCTTACGGGGCCCCCTGGTGGCTTGGGCTCCTGGACACCCATAAAACCCACTGGATGATCTGGGCCTGGCTGACAAGTATTGCTTTTTAAACATGTTATTCGGTGCTTATGCCCGTGTTAAAAAGTTCACAGTGTGCCGTCTGTAGATCAGAGTTCTCCTCCTTCCTGCTGGAGCTGTGGTTTTACTCTCAGAGGGTTTAGGTGTGTGTTTTCTGAGTGTGAGTGTTAATGCTGTGTGTTTTGGAGTCTTTTTAAACAGGCAGTATGAAGCAATCTGGTCTCAATGGTTTTACTGTTTGTCCTCTCTGATATGAGAGCAGTCAGCCAGTCCCTCCATCAGAACAAACTCTGCGTCCTTCAGTTGCACCTGAGGACACAACACAGCAACCTGGATTATTCAAGTTCTCCAACCTGCTCACGTTATTAACCTGCACTGTTCTCTTTCCTCTACAAACAGAACCACCGTTAAAGACCTCCTGCACTCAAAACATTTTTAAATGATTAACTCTTATTTGGCTTATTATGGTTATACAGCTTGGTAATTGTGTGAAATCTGTCTTAAGACACATCTGTCAAATATGCTGTTCTAGTAGCAGGTAGCATTAGCTTAGCATGCTACAACTTTAAACATCAAAGTACAGGTTCGATTCACTCACTGAAGCTCCACTGACACTAATTTAGAAGATGAAGAATTAGATCTGAGGGTGATAACCTGTTTTTTTGTGTTAACCTGTTAGCTAAGCTACTCTCACTCCACTGTCTTAATTAGCACTAGAAGCTAGTGTTAGGTTAGCGAGCAGGTTAAAACAGATTCACACACCAGTGTATAAGTGTAAATATGGAGTTTTCTGACCATGTGCAACACGGTGTCCCTCAAGGCTCTGTTTTAGGGCCTTTACTGTTTATTTTTACAGTAAGTATGTACTGTCTGTATTTACTTACAGTCCTTCGGACACATAATCCATAAACATAATGTTGTTTTTCACTTTTATGCTGATGACACTCAGTTATTTGTTTCAGCTCAGCCAGATTCAGGCACAGTAACACATAATGGAACATTGTTTTAAAGATATGAAAGCCTGGATTAGCAGGACTTGCCTCCTGCTAAATTATGATAAAACACAAGTGTTGCTGTTGGGCCGCAAGTCTGCACGACTAAACTGTCACTAACCTGCTGTAGGCTGAATGGGTGGGGCTAAATTGCCGTGGGCTGGATGGGTGGGGCTAAACTGCTGTAGGCTGAATAGGTGGGGCTAAACTGCTGTAGGCTGAATGCAGTTCACACTGGACTGATGTTAAAGATAAAGGCAAGGCTACCTGGGGGAGGGGATAAGTGGTTGGTGCTGCTGCTCGATCTCTTCCAAAATCACACACCGTCCCGCACTTCGCAACGTCATCAACCCAGAATCCCTCGTACAGCTGCCCTCTGTCCAGGTAGAAGAAGCGTCCATGTCCGTTTTTCTTTCCGTCCTTCCAGCTACCCTCGTACTTGTTCTTGTTGGCTTTAACACACAGACAGAGTAAGTGTGAGTGGATCTACAGCAGAGCCAGAACCTCATACACACCTTCTGACCAGGTAACCTGCTGATGACTTCCATCAGGTGTGTCAGCGCAAAAAAATAACCACCCAGTGCTGGGCTTGTTTATGCGGTTACCACTGTGGAACCCTCTGGGCCTTCTAGGCTATGAAGGTCAGTGAAGGCCTAATCATTTCTGTAAACTAAAGAATACATGTGTGTAATTTTTAGATGCTTTTTATTTAATAGAATCATTATTCTAGTTGTATTTGAACTCGGTAAGTATTGTAGTAAGACTTATCTCATTGATAAGGTTTTGGTTTAAAACAAAATGGTTCAAGTCTTGGATTGTTCTCTCTGTGGTATCTACGTAGATTCAGCTGAGTTGCTCTCCCATTGGTCAGGACTTCAGGAGCTGGACTGAAGGCCTTACACATTAGATTAACAACCAACATAATTAGGAAGTGAATCAACCAGTCAAACTTTACAATGAGACCAATTCAGACAGAAAAAACATCACTTTTGGAGGTTCTAGATAAATCACTTACATCTTTACTGAAAGAGTCTGTCACGAATGTCACGAGCGAAGCGGAGGAAATGGACTCGATCTCCCAGAATCCTCTGGGAGATCACATGACTTTGATGCTGCCTACAAACCCCAATACACTCACGGACTCCATCCCCCAGAATACACAGGGAGATCAGCTGACCGCTGATCTCCCCACACGCTCCTATCAGCGTTCTCGATCGCCCGAATTCTGATGTGTTTCACCTGTGAGTTTTGATCATGTGACTTTCTCAGTTAGCTTATAAGACCAGTCTTTAGCGTGAGTTATTTGCGAGGTATTGTTTCATTTGGTAAACTACTGAGCGTTATATCTATGATCTTGATTTTGTGTATGACCTGTAGCACCCGTTCTGGGAAACCGTTACAGAGTCACTATAACACTGATACATACAAGCTCAGATATTTGATAATGTCTGTTACAAATGTCTGTGTTTAATTTAGAAGGGCCCAAAATAATTCACATGCACCAGCGTTAGCATAGCACTTACATGCTATTAGAAATCATAGTGATGGATTTGCTCTTGTTTATGACCTGAAGTTTTGACATTCATAGTCATTTTTAGCTACTTTAGCCTTGCATCTCCAGTTCTAAAACTACAGAAGCAAACTTCAGATACCAAATACGTCTCATTTGGAGGAGGGGTGAGGGGTGGGGCAGCAGTGGGGAAATCAGATTTTTGGTTGGAGTATCACTTTGATTGTGTCTCTGACTGTGGTTAATACCGAGCGTCAGTATGCCCTGTCCGTGCGGTTTGTCCTTCAGCCACTCTCCTTCATAAATGTCTCCGTTGGGGTAGTACATTCTGCCCGAGCCGCTCCGCTGGTGCCCCGCCCACTGACCCTCATACCAAGAGGTGGCACTGTAGAACTGTGTCCCAAAACCCTAAACATGCAAAAAAACACACAGTTATTCACACAGAAAGGACAAAACTGAAAAAACAAACGTTCCTCACTTTTTTAAACAAGATAGTTTGGTGTAGCATGTAAACATTGTTCTTGTGATGTCATAAAAAAACAACATATTTACATATATCCACCTATTTAGCCCCACCCTTTCAGCCTACAGCAGTTTTGCCCCACCCCACTCATCCTACAGCAGTTTAGCCCCACCTATCCAGCCTACAGCAGTTTAGCCCCACCCATTCAGCTATAAAGTAGTTTAGCCCCACCTATTCAGCCTACAGCAGTTTAGCCCCACCCATTCAGCTATAAAGTAGTTTAGTCCCACCTATTCAGCCTACAGCAGTTTAGCCCCACCCATTCAGCCTACACCAGTTTAGCCCCACCCATTCAGCCTGCAGTAGTTTAGCCCCACCTATTCAGCCTACAGCAGTTTAGCCCCACTCATTCAGCTATACAGTAGTTTAGCCCCATCCATTCATCCTACAGCAGTTTAGGAGAATGTGGAATATGGGCTCTTTAAATGGAGGAAATCCTGCATGTCCAGCAGCTTGTAAACACATGCTACACATTGAAGGATCCTCACCTCCTTCTTGTCGTTCCTCCACTCTCCTGAGTACGCCCTCACATACTCATTAGACAGAGGCAGACGTCTGCTCAGTGTGCCGAAACCATCACGCTTTCCAAATTTCCAGTCTCCATCATACACGACTCCAGCTCTCTTCCACATCTGAGTTCCTTTACCTGGACAGTGGAGAGGTTCTTACAGTACTGTCAGCATGATGAGGACACCAACTGCACAGTTAGACTCTCCTGTAGGAGCTGCAGAACACAACTACACAATCACAATACTTACTTTTAGAGTCAGTTATTCATTCAACCTAACGAGAAACTGTAGAACAGACTCAGTTTATATCACAATACCTACATTTAGAGTCAGTTATTCATTCAACCTAATAAGAAACTGTAGAACAGACTCAGTTTATATCACAATACCTACATTTAGAGTCAGTTATTCATTCAACCTAATGAGAAACTGTAGAACAGACTCAGTTTATATCACAATACCTACATTTAGAGTCAGTTATTCATTCAACCTAATGAGAAACTGTAGAACAGACTCAGTTTATATCACAATACCTACATTTAGAGCCGGTTATTCATTCAACCTAATGAGAAACATCTGTAAAACATTTAAGAAAAATCACTGTAGTTGTAGGTTATTATTATTATTATTATTATTATTATTATTATTATTATAGTGTTGTTTATATGTGGCACTACAGGTTCTATTTTGTCTGTTCCGACTTACTAAATCTCAGAAAGACTAAATATCATGATGCATATTGTGAATCGTGAAAATGTCTTGAAGTATCGTGATATATTTGCCATATCGCCCAGCTCTAGTAAGTCATAATTATACGGAAGTTTCTCTTTATGATGACATACTGTATGGTCTTTTTTAAGTAGCAGACAGCCTTTCATTTATTATTAATTATTTCATAAATATGAGATTGTGAGTCATAATTATGATATAAAGATGTTATTATTATGAAATAGCAAGTCATAAGCATGAGATAGAAAGTCAAGATTATGAGAAACATCCCCGGTATTATGTAATCTCATCATTATATGATAGCAGACTCTAAGTCATAAGTATCAGACATGATCTAGTTATTATACAATATAAAGTCATAATTACGAGATACTAAGTCAGTTATGTAACATAAATCAGAATTATGACATAGTATCTCATTATTATAAGATTATAAGACATAACTATGAGATACCAAACCATAATTATGAGAATCTTATTCTTGTTATTATTAGTCAGAATTATGTCATAATTATGAGATTTTAAGTCATAATTACGGTTACTTTCTCATTATTATGATTTACCAATCTGCTATATATTTTTTTCTCAGTGTTGGAAACGAGCTTCCGCACTCATTAGGTTTTAAGGGTGCAGTACAGTAGTACTCTGTGTAATAAGTGACCCTCATTATAACTCGGATTGAGTGGTGTACGGAGATCGTACCGTGCTTCTTGTTGTCCAGCCATTCCCCTGTGTACTGATCTCCGCTCACTGAGTACACTGTGCGGTGAACTCCGCTCTTCTGAGCCTTTTTATCGCTCAGTTTAGCTAGAGATTCCGTTTTCTGAGGGTTCTTCAGGCGAGGCATTCTTACAGCAGAACCGCCGAGAGTGAGAACCTCTCTGAGCGCTCAGACCCACCCGAACTCCAGCAGAACTGCTCACAGAACCGCCCGAGCCGGCTTCGGGTCAGTGGAGAGGAGTCAGTCTGAGGTCAGTTATCTGAGCTCAGCGCGGTCAGTCTCTGTGTGTGTTACGTATCTTAGCAACGAGCCTCGGAAACATTCCGGCTGTGTTCCAATTCGCTCCCTACCGGAGAATTAGTGCACTACGTAGTTCACAACGTATCTGCAGACTGTAGTGTACAAAGCAGTTTTCTAGTGAACACAGTGACAATCAAAAGTGTCTTAAAATAAAGGATCTGATATTTATCAGGAAGTCTGAAGATCATAATCTGGTATAGAAATCTGTGTAGCCAAATTAAAACAATTCTGCAAAGAAGAGGAAACCAAAATTCCTCCACAGTGATGTAAAAGACTCATCGCAAGTTACCGCAAACGTTTGATTTCAGTTGTAACCGCCGAGGGCAGCACAAGGTTTAGGGGGCGATTACTTCTTCACATGGGTGATTTAGGTTTTGAATAAATCTTTGTCTTCAATAAGATTATTTAAAAGCTGTATTTTGTGTTTACCCATGTTGTCTTTATCATATATTAAAATGAAACATGTAAATGTGACAAATTAGCAAAAGTAGAAAAAGTGAGGAACAAATACTTTTTCACAGCACTGTATATCAGATTTTGGTTTGGGACGTTGGTTTTGGTTCGTCCAGAAAGAGAACACCAACACACACATCAGCACACATCAACCACAACAATCATGAGACTAATAAAACATGCTTCCCTACATAGTGAACCACGTAGATTCTTCTAGGTAAGACGCATAGAGCGAGTGAATCACCACTGTAGTCATGCGTCAGACTGTATAGACCACTGTAGTCGCGGTCTTCGTTATGCTCTTATGCCCATATTAGGAACTCCGGGTCTAAGCCCCATTTCTCTATGGGTTAGGATGAATGGAATGGGTTTGTCGAAAAATCGCCTGTATCGCCCCCTGTATTAAATAAAAATTTCCGGTACGTTTTGTCCTGTGTACATTTTTCTCCCGAATACCACTGGATCCTCTGAATTACGAGGTCGTTAAAGAGCCTTAATAATAATATTGCTACATGGCGAGCTAAAGCTACTGCGCATCAATTTGATGTAACTAAGCTACACGAAACTAAGGCGGGCTGTGCCGGTGCTCTGACGAGCTGCGCTACCTTATCAAAATGTTTTACCGTAGCGCATAATTACAGGTATACCTGTAAATACAACGTCTAGGTAGGATATTTTGATAGACTAAAACTCCTTATCAAAAATACTACCCGTGTTAAAACTATGAGGCTGAATTTGGCTTCTTTTTTCGCAGCTTCTTGTTTGAATATTCCCGTTCCACCCGTTCCACCTATGGTGCAGCAGCTGTGACTAGCTCTCACAAACATTAGCAAACAAGACAAAATACTCACCTGTCAGTTCTCTGAAACAGCAAAAATAAGTTAAGGTTACTACTGTTAATCGGAAATAGATAAACCTGCTCATATCATGCCTTTCAACCCTCTATGAAGCTGAAGTCAGCTTCTTTTTCGCCGGCTGCTTGTTCGAATTTTCCCATTCCACCTTAAATGGCGCAGCAGTTCAGAATGAGCTTTTTAAGTCAAGCTGAACAGAACGGAAAGATCTATCGTGTTTCAGTGAGCATCAGATGAAGAACAGAGAACTGCAGGGAAACCAGTTTATTTTGTTCTGACTTCTTTTCATCTGCCCTCAGTCTGTAAATGGAAAGACTCTACTACACTGGCAAAGCGTGCTTAAGGAGGCTGCCAGTCAAATTACGTCAATTCAGTGCGCAGTAGCTTTAGCTCACATGTAACAATATTCATATTTCAACTCTTTAACGACCTCGTAATTCAGAGGATCCAGTGGTATTCGGGAGAAAAATGTTCACAGGACAAAACGAATCTGGTTTTGAACATTTTTATTTAACACAGGGGGCGATAGAGACGATTTTTCGACAAACCCATTCATTCTGGCCATAGAGAAATGGGGCTTAGACCCGGAGTTCCTAATATGGGCATAAGAGCATAACGAAGACCGCGACTACAGTGGTCTATACAGTCTATAGAGCCACCCCGTTCTCGGAGCCTCCGCTCGGTAGGTGGCGTTGATGCGGCGCGGCGCTGTGCGAAGAGCAAGCGGCTACTAGCGCACAGTTGTGGCGGGCCGCGTCCCAATATGCGCACTCGCCCTCTAGAGCTTCTTGGTTAGCGAGTAGAACTCTGGCCGCCATTCACAAACCAACATGCGAGTTTGTGTCCTGGAACATCGGATGTGCTACCAGCTAAGGGGTTGTAGAACACAAGCGCTCCAGAACGCGAGAGCACTGTGCACAACACAAGAGCGCTTTGTAGGGCAGAAGGGCACATATTGGGACACGGCCTCAGTCAGCCAGGCAGACAGCGTGTGGACGCGGCTACAATGTCGCTGGAGCGATGTCAGACTGAATGGAGCGAAATAGACCGAGAATATCAGCAGCTGCAGGTTTGGTGGCGAGAATAGATCGCCTGGAATCTGTTTTTTCATTTGACACGAATAAGCGAGCTAATAAACTTCTGTAAAGCTGACTTAAATCCCTCTCACCTTGGCTAAGTGAGGTTAGCCTGCCTGCTAGCACGCTTACCAGATTTAAACAGCCATTGATGAGCACTTAAACCGGCTGTTTACTTATTTATTTGTTTATTTGGTTGGTGTTAAGACCTCAATTCGTAACGAAGAGTTTACATATGTATTAACAAAGCACGAGGCTGAAGTTGTCTTCCTATTCGCCAACGTCTTGTTCGAATTTTCCCGTTCCACCTTAAATGGTGCAGCAGTTACATTCTGGTGCCTCAGGCATCTGCTGTAACTGCTGCACCATTTAAGGTGGAACGGGAGAGTTCGAAAAAGACTGACTTCAGCTTCGTCTCCAGCTGTAGTTTGACATTCTTGTGGTGAAGCTTATTTCAGATTCTGACATTTGTCTTTTATCTCACCTTCTTTATATCCTTTTATTGTTTGTGGACGCACCAAATTTCATTTAAGAGTGTTTCCAGGCTGTTGAGGTCACAGTCCGATAAGAAATTGTAAAAGAGCTCATTAACACCGAGATTAATAACTGATTACATTGGTTTATCAGTCTACTCAGGCTTTAGCAGAGCTCAGTAACACTGAGATTAATAACTGATAACATTGCTTTATCACTCCACTCAGGCTTCTAAAATAATTAATAAACAAGCATTAGTGGTAGATTATGTGTATTTTTATTGAGTGGGTAAGAATTCTAATGAAGAAACACTGTCACTATGGTTGCCAGAAGTTGGAAACAACTTGACTGCACTTTATTATTATTATTATTATTATTATTATTATTATTATCAAATAAGTATTCTAAAAGTATATTCCTAAAATATAAACAGTATTAGACCGTTGAGCTCAGTGCACACTTTTACAAAACATCTGAAAAAATGTGTCTTTTTAATTCTGCGCTTCATTAAAACTCTACGACTTCTTTGTGTTTATCTTTTTAATCTGATCTGTATTATTGTCTTATGATTTAAAATTAATATTTATAGTTTCTTATCTTACTGTTTAGCTTTATCAGCCCGATTTTGTTGTGGTCGACTAATTTCCAGCATCTGCCCGAATATGAGCGTCAGGAATGATGAACTGGCCGTGTAGTGCCATAATCAAAGTACAGCGATGTGACGTCTGTGACACCACAACCAAACTAGCATGTCAGATTTTTTTTGTTATTAGTCTGATGTCTCCTACAACACGCTCCTTGATGTTAACCAATAGGCCGACAGAGTGCTGTGTGGAACGCATCTGTACACACAGTTAAGAGAGAGCGATGCTGCTGCTGCAAATTTAAGGTGGTAACAGAGGAAAGGTTCTCTGAGGTGTGGCAGCAGAACCCCTGCCTTTCTGACGTTTCCTTGAGGGAGAAAAGTGAGGGTTCAAAAAGATAAATGTTGTAGAGAAGCAGCGTTTATAGTGTCTGTTTACACACAGTGAACCTGGTAACTACATTTAATTAATGGTCTCTATGTTCACACATTCGTTACCTCAAGTACTCTTTGAAGGACAGACAGTCCACGCTGTTCTCTACTGACACCCAGGAACAGCTCCACAATCGCTGTTTCTTTCTTTTTCTTTTCCTTTCCAGAACATAAAACCGCCAGCATCACACAAACCACTTTTGATTGACAGTTTTTTGACCTTCACACTTAAAAATCATTCTCTGCATGGTGAGATGGTTCTTCAAATTGGTGGAGAATGTGCTGTAGATGGTTCTGTATAGAACTTTTTTGAAAAGAGTTCTGTATAGTTCCAATAAGGGTACTTCTACAGTGACAGCTTGACATCGTAACAGTAGAATAGCCCTTTTTAAACTTATGTAGAACGTTTTTCAAAAAGGTCTATATAGAACCATCTACAGCACATTCTCCATCAATCTGAAGAACGATTTTACCATGCAGAGAACTGTTTAAGCAGGCAGAGTTCTTTGAATAGGTTCTACGTAAAATCATTTTCTTTAACCCTTAAAGAACCATAATTTTTAAGAGTGCTCCTCTCCGATGACCTGAGAACTCGCGCAAGAATGTGAGTGATGATTGGTTGATGTTAGACTTGTAGCATTGTCAGATTCCTGACCAAGACACGATATGAATTAATGGCACTAGGATCGTCTAATCTGACATAGTACCCATCATGAAAGACAGAAATATCATGTAATCTGATCCCAGCATAAAGCACTTTGAGCTGCCACTACTATAAAAAGTGCTCTGTAAATAAAATTATTATTATTTTTTATTATTATTATTATTATTATTATTATTAAAAGGTGACTGTGTTCTGAATATAGTCTTTACAGAATGTAAGTTGGACTAGACACAAATGCTTAATTTCTGTTTTCTGAATACATATTCCCGATACCTGTAATCCGTCTTATCCCGATCCTGGTGCTAAATGTGCTCCCTTCTTTTCTAGGAGACTCACAAAGTGTACAGACAGAAGCTGGAGGAGCTCACTAGTCTCCAGGCTCTGTGCAGCACCGCCATCTGCAAACAGAGGAAAGGCCTGAAGGAGCTCCGACATA